TAAAGCTAAACTTGATACGGGTTATCACAATCTGACTGTCTCCACTTTAGCGACAAACCACATACAAACATAGTTTCTTTAGTCCTTACATACCATCCATTAAACAGATTAGCTTGACTGTTCAGTAAAACTTTACGAACAAGAGACAACACATTTTCTGACATATTTACTATCTTGCCCGAAATGAATTTACAAGACTGTTTAGTACATTCTAACTTAAAAACTGGAGTGCCTTTATCCGCACAAACGAACGGAACTTGACCGTGCGGACGAACTGTTTCCTTTGCATGCGATTATATCACTGATTTCGCAACTCTTTCTATTACTACGTTTTATGTAACAGACCAATTCACCCGTACATTAGAGAACAATATTTATTACATTCACTCTACGAAATGGAACCAAATCTATATCAGAAAAACACTACGCAAGTTAGGTCACAGATTTCAGATTAGAAATTTCAGGAGCATTTTTGACCACCCAGTCCTCAAACACTTTTAAGTCATCAGACCATAATTGGACTGACAAAAGGAGTGTACTTGTTTTACAGCATAACCCCCCCCCCCGTTTCCACACAAAACAAGTCTGACCACTAAAGCTTAGAACACAAACTTACATTTAAATTCAATATTCTGACACCACACGGAATAAATTAACTATTATATTTTAAGTAATTACAGCTTCCGTTAAAATTTCTTTTATCACACATTTTTTAACTTTGTTTTTGACGAACTGACACCTCTACCTTCTCAAATTCTCTGTGGAAACATTATCAATTTTGATGAATTTTTCATATTTCTGTTATATTAGCCCTCCAGTGGCACAGCGGTATGTCTGCGGACTTCCAAAGCTAGAAACCGGGTTTCGGTACCCGTGGTGAACACAAACAGATAGCCCATTGTGGAGCTTTATGCTTAATTACAAACAAACTGTTATACTGTTTATTTATTTTTTTAACTGTATAGTTTTGTTCTGAATTTTCTTGATCCTTTTAGTTCACATATCTTACTCTGTACACGCACCTCGCGTTTTATTTTTATCATGAACTCAATGTCTAATTCCATGTATCTTATGTAAATTCTAAACGTTCTTTTTAAAGTGTATTTTGAGTAACGAAGGGTATATCCTCTAAGTGTAGCAAGTAAAATAAATTTTCGTTATAGATGTATTTTGTAATCTTTTCCAGTTTGACAATATCCTTTTAGCATAGTTTCTATTACAAAAGGCTTCGTCGTAATACAGTCTTGTCCAAAGCACCCTAATCCTCCCTGTTTCTTTTCTATAATCCATCTAGTCTACGAGGACGATGGTTTCCTAATTCCCATTTCAACACACAGAAATCCATAGGCGCTGCATCCAGCGACTTTTCTTATATGTCTTCGTACGGAATACCATGTATATCAGTTTCACTCTCCAGCTGCTTATTTTAGTGAACTCATATCCTGTTGGCCTCGTTTTCAGACAGATTTCCTTTTTCTTATTATATTGCTTACTAATGCTTGGAACATGTAGACGACTTTTGCCACTAGCCTTTATGCTTGTGGATTCTTAGTTCTTAAAATATGCTGCACTTTGATAATGGTGCAACTTCTTGCATGTTCTCTTTATGGGTGGTCCTGGTGCTCCAAGTTGATCCATATTCCTTTGTTTTCCAGTGCCATTAGGTACAAAAGTTATCCCCTTCTTAGAAACTCTAAATCCCCGATCTGAACACATCTTCATGATCTGAGTGGATGAATGTTTTAAGCCGGAAACTTGTTACATACCTTTCTTTAAAGCAATAAATTTTCGGTGGCATCACACTACCTATGTAACGACAAACTGTCAAAATATGGGTTTCATATATCCAGTTTTACCTCGATTTTATATCGGGTGCCTATGTCTCATTACTTGCGTAATGAAAATCATATTAATATGATGTACCCAACCATCTTCATAAGCATAAAGTTAATGGTGGAAGAACTTTTCGATCCTTTTCTGTTGTTGTTGTTAGATAACAAAATGAAAGGGATGTTTTGTCGTGGAAGTTACTTCAAGAGTACTTTCAATACTTATACTGACGAACGACAACATGTCCTTCCATTATGGTTTTAATCGGCTGTGATCTTCACGTGACCTACTGATTTGATTTTTAAATATATTTAATATTACTCACTAAACTTGTATTAAAGATAAAAGTGAGAACAAGCACGCCCTCCTGCAACGTCAAGCTTAAAGTAAATATATTTCATCAGGTAGTGATACAGTTGATAACATCAACGGATAAAACAACACTGTGGCATTTGAAGAAAAAAAAAAAGGTTGAAATATCTCCACTAAACAAAAAATATGCTAGATTTGTTATTTTTTAAGAGAAAATACAGTTTGGAAGCGTGTGTGAAAGAATTAATATATAATTTCCCAGGAAGGCAAAAGTTTCCTGTGATATTTGAAACGAAAATTAGAGAGGGATAAAAGTCAAATGTATGCTATCATGACAAGACAACCAGACACCTAATCAATGTCAAAATATCTTTACATAACATAAAATAGAAATGTTGAATGTATTGCTAAGAGGGCAAGAAATCCCACAATGGGGTCTTGGATATCCTGGTGGTTAGGATTCTCGATGTATAATCTGAGATTCGCAGGTTCGAATCCCTTTACCGAACATGCTCGCCCTTTCAAGATTTGGGCATTATGATATGACAGTCAATCACACTTTTCGTAACTTAAGAGTTGGCGGTGGGTGGTATTGCCTAGCTGCCCTCCTTCTAGTTTATTATTTCTAAATTATGGACGGCTATCATAGATAGCCCTCGAGTAGCTTTGCGCGAAATTCACCAATATAAAAACAAACCAAAAACATTGCAACAGTGATATAGAACTCTCGAAGCTGAACACTTTATAATAAAAACAAGTAAAATGGGTAATAACAAAAACGAACTGACTTACGTGCTTAGTGAAAGAAAGAAAATTCCACTCCTGAAAGCTGAGGCTGTAAGAATAAAGCTTGAATACCTCTGATTGCAGTACGAATATTCAACTTGTTCACGCAAAAATTATAATGTAGAACAAGGACGTCGAACAGAAATTATTGAGAAAGGCATAAGGCGAGAAAACCATGTCATAATGTATAATTGGAAATAAATTGTATGATGTAAGCACACGACTCTAGACTTAAAATATCTATTAGATCGTCAAGAAATTAATGTCGCTTTTTATAGATTAAAAAAACCTGAACAATTTATGTATCAAAATAAAACATTTATGAAATGAAATAGTCTCCATTCTTATCGATGATGCTTTTTCATCTTACATTCAGGTTGTTAATGCCCTGATTAAATAAATCATTTGGCTTTGAAGCAAAAAACATGTCGATGTTCTCTTTAACACCTTCCACATTTTCATACGTTTTCCCATTAAGATGATGTTGCAGCGAACGAAAAAGATGGTAATCTGAAGATGCCATATCTGGAGAATATGGTGGGTGGGGGAGAACTTCCCAACCAAACTCCATAAACTTGTGTTGCGTCAAACGTACCACATGTTGACGTTTGTTTGTTTGCTTGTTTGTTTGTTATGGATTTCGCGCAAAGCTACATCAGGGCTATCTGCGCTAGCCGTCCCTAATTTAGCAACGAAAGACTAGAGGGAAGTCTTTCTGGTCATCACCACCCACCGCCAACTCTTGGGCTACTTTTTTACCAATGAATAGTAGGATTGACCGCCACATTATGACGCCCCCACGGCTGAAAGGGCGAACATGTTTGGTGTGACGGCGATTCGAACCCGCGTCCCGCAGATTACGAGTCGAGCGCCCTGACCACCTGGTCATGCCGGGCCCATGTGGACGTGCATTGTCGTGAAGGGCATTTCTGGTGAAGGACTTGATTTAAACGTTCAAGTTGCTGACTATAGATCTCTGCATTGACAGTTCGAATTAATTAATTTCTTCAGTAACGTTTACCACAGCACAGGCTACGTCCACTTGTAGGCCTAACTACAGATATAACGTTTCAACAGAAGCTCTTAAACTAATGTACGCCTAAGTTACTTGTAAACTTACTTGAATAATTTCCTCGTTAATCAACAGATAAAAAACACGTCGAATAATTCGCTGGCTAATTGAATAGTAGACAAATCGATGTAGTAACTCTCTCTGTTTAACTAACTAACTGACATACCTCACTGACTACTGGTTTAATCTCTCTGACATTTACATAATTCTTGCTTTCTATTTATTGCAAGAATTGATAAGATCATTACTTCAGCATCATGATAGCAAATAAACAACTAAGTTAAAACATTAAAAACACAGATTACAACTATACTAAAATTATACATATTGAACTAGAACAGTAAGAGTACCGAAATTAATGAGCCAAATTCTAAAGGTACAGAAATAAAACTCGTTACACTAAATATCTATCAAAAATGAGCATATTATTCCCTCTATTTATGTGCTTATTGGTCTGTCATGGAACAACACTTTTTTTAACTATTAATTTTAGAGAACAATTATTTGATTTCAGTAATCGAAAAACTTGGAAAAAAATGCGCATGTAAAGACGGAAAGTTGTGAATAATTATTTAGAACTATATTGGCAAAAAAATCACACTCTACATTTTGGAGCTGTGGATGATGCGTTTTAATACTGACAGCCGAATCTCATTGTTCGATTAGAATAGCCCACGAGTTGAAGATGGATGATGTTGACTAGCTACGTTCCCTTTAGCTAGCGCAGATAGCAAACCCAGTGGTCTTAATGGCTGTTTTTTTCTTGTATGTCGTTTTGGAGCTCCTTCATTTAATTTCATTCTGCTCTATAGGTAGATTGTCTCTTACTCAGTCGTATTATTCTCGGGATACTTCCCTGACAGTTTTAAGTTTAAACATTACTTAATCAATATAATTTTTAAAATGTAACTAAAATTTTAAGCTGATAATTTGGAAGGATCGATTGATTTTTGTTGTTGTTCTTGTGATAGCGATCTGTTTTCTGAGAGAAACCTTCCGCAGTAATATAAAGAAAACATTTAAAGTTATCTTATTCCAAGAGATCGGCATTAGCTGAGAAGCGGCTCCTTGACGCGATCGATTTATTGAAAGTGCGCATGTGTGAAAGGTCGCCCACGTTCGGTAGAAAAACACAAGAAAATGGTAGAATAGCAGAAGTCTCGAGTGTTCAAGTCGCGTGGGCGCGCGAAGTAAGAGAGCTAGTCGTGTTTGTGACGACACAAAGAGAGAGAGAGGGACTGAAAACAAAACAAGAAGAACTAGTTATCTGTGACTTCAAGTGACAGAAGATAACATATCAACTCAATGACTACAGTTAGGTAAGTTATGTTATTCATGTTTCTTTCAACAGGCAACGTTACCATATTGACAAACGCTAATTATTTTATGTCAAACCTATCAAAGTGTGCCTTTCACTTTCAGCCGATTAAAGAGTTTATTGAAACAACAAATGTCGCAATCTATGAAAGCTCGCATAGAAAAAATCGCTGTTTGTCATGTGTGGCCCAGTTATTAGTTTATGAGGTTAAGCCACTAAATTAGGTGGTTATACATCAAATAGCATGGAAAAGGTTGTTTAATAAAATTGAATAGGCCTATAATTTTATCTCCAACCCCTAATACCTATATATCTTTAACACCACTTTGTTTAAATGATTAATAAACCCATAAGCCGTAACTTAACAATAAAAACTGCGTTTGAAATCTGATGACGTTGTTCGAGGTTGAAATATAAATTAAAGAAAGATCGACTTTGAATGTATGAATTATAAAAAATTCACTATTATTAGTAAAATTACACAAGGGTGTTAAAAAGTAAGCGGTAAAAATTATAATACACGATACAGTAATAGATAAAGCCCAAAACGATGTTGGACATTTTTATAGATAGTGAGATACCTATTTCCTGGACCAGGTGGTTAGGGCGCTCGACTCACTATCCGAGGGTCGCAGGTTCGAATCCCAGTCACGCCAAACATGCTCGCCCTTTCAGCCGTGGGGGCGTTATAATGTGACGGTCAATCCCACTATTCGTTGGTAAAAGAGTAGCCCAAGAGTTGGCGGTGGGTGATGATGACCCAAGAGTAGCCAAGAGTCTTACACTGCTAAATTAGGGACGGCTAGCACAGATAACCCTCGTGTAGCTTTGCGCGAAATTAAAAAAAAACAAACAAACCTATTTCCATAAACTTGTAGATAATTTCTAACCTTCGAACTTGATTATCATTTTTAACTCCAACTTTTATTTTTCGGTTCCAGAACTGAACTTGTATTGAAAAGTTTATTTGATTTTTCAGATGTTTCTAATCTGGGCATTATATATTCCTTCAATAAATATTTTATGTAATCTTTCACTATGTAAAAGTAGCAACAGCATCTCGGAGGCAATCAAGTTGTACTCTTGAAGACACTTTGCTTATCACGGCCTTTTTAAGGTTGCAGCAGTTAGAATGAAACAAATGGATGGATGATATTGAACGTCCTAACCTTGACCTTTCTAATGTCAGCATGAAGCGTTATGCAAATTTTCATTGAATGTAAGGGGGAGAAGAAACATTAATCTTTGCTATGCTTTTAGTGTTATTACTGAGATCATATCCTTTTCGTTATACACATATTTCCATTTTTAACTTTACAATGTAACGCGATTTTAGTAGTTTTTAGACAAGTACATTTTGTTCTTTATACTCATTAGTCTAGCCCCCCAGTGTCACAGCGGTATGTCTTCGGACTTACAACGCTGGAATCCGGGTTTCGATACCCGTGGTGGGCAGAGCACAGATAGCCCATTGTGTAGCTTTGTGCTTAATTACAAACAAAGAAAATCGTTAGTCTGTTATTTTTATCTCAATACGAACTTAATAGCCGTATACTCAGTTTTTTTTTCTATGTTGCTATGGTACCATTGACGTAACATCATTGAGCTTAGCTGCTTGCACAGTAGTTTCATTAGTTTTTTATAGTTAGTATTCATTCAGGATATTAATTTTCCATTAAGTCTTTTTAAATGCTAAAGTTATTATTGTACGATCATCCTATATGACAAAAGTATTTAAAGTGTATGGGGAAAACGTGCTGTTTTGTCTGGTAATAAATATATATTTCTATCGGTAAAAGTTCATTTGATTGATTCTTAACAAAGGCCATGTTATCAAAGGGAACTTGAAAGAAAATCACATTTCAAGTACTTGAGGGTCGTCCATGCAAATATACATGCCATTTTTCGAAGAAACTCAAACCGAGAAGCTTATCTGATGACAATAGAGAATACATTAAAATACTTCCATATTTTGTCATAAGACAAAAGACCGAAAGTACTGGTTACAAGATGTGATTTTTCGGTTTATAAAGAAATCAGATCATACTAGCACGCGCACACCAGTCACTAGAACTTTTAATCATTTTGTATTATTTGTAATCTTATAACGAGTTTATACATTAACAAGAGGGAATCCTCAATAGCTGCGGCACTTGAAATTCATATAGGCAGCTTGGGGCAGATTTCATTTTATTACTCATCAGGATCTCTACCAGCTTACCCTCAAACTGAAATTGTTTTAGGTACGCTTAAAATATACTAATCTATGAGACCTTGGGCGTGGTCAAATACATCAATCGAAAGGGTTTGACCTCCTGAGAAAACTGTAATTAGATCTCAAATCGGTCAAGAGATGACGGAGCTATGATGTAAAAGTTTGAAGTTTAAAAAACAAACAAACTCGGAGCCGTTCTAGAGCCGCTTATTCGCGGCTAATAAAAAATACAGCTTTTTAAATAGTCGTTATTTATCAGAGAAGAGGCAAGAGAAGAAAAGAGCAGGAATTTTGAAGTGAAGGGATCCCCTACGGATGTTCAGGGACAGGAGTCCCTCTTCATCTACCAAGAAAATGATAGAAAAACTGGGGTCTTAGAGTTTGAAATGCATGAGTAATGAGGAGGGGTAATGAGAAATAGTGAGTAGTAGTCACTTGGGAGAGGGGGGGGGGATTGTGAGGAACACGATTTATTTTCATGGAAAAAACGATAAAAAAAAGATATGTCAGAATACACAAACATGAAATAGAACATTTACGACATTATAAAAATAAGTGAATATTTCAATGCTCCTAATTATTGTAATACGTAATTGTTTGTTTCAGATGATATGCATGAAAGCAAAAATAGTTTAAACATACATTCATTAACCTACTTGCACTGTTTATATCTCCAGATATGTGTTATGGCCCACCGTAAAATAAATCTGGAAAGTCGTATTTCATACTGATTTATTCAGAATGAAATTTATATTTATTCACACTAATTTCACTCAACCTGGTCAAAACTCCCCCCACCCACCCACCCAATAATTATGAAGCATACGGGTACTTTGTTTCAGATACTCCCCCCCCCCAATAATTATGAAGCTTACGGGTACTTTGTTTCAGATATTTCCCCCCAATAATTATGAAGCATACGGGTACTTTGTTTCAGATATTTCCCCCCAATAATTATGAAGCTTACGGGTACTTTGTTTCAAAGCTTAAGATATTTCCCCCCAATAATTATGAAGCTTACGGGTACTTTGTTTCAGATATTTCCCCCCAATAATTATGAAGCTTACGGGTACTTTGTTTCAGATATTTCTATAGGTATTGTGTATGCTTGATGATATTTGTTTTGTATGTTTATTGCCAACATGGAATAATTTTAATATAGTCCATTGCTAGTCCATATGGATATTAAGATATCTTTAATTACCCATGGTTTCATTTTATGATAGTGTTTGATATTCTTTGCAGTTTTGAAAGGCAAATAGATGTTTATTTCAGTTGTGTATTTATACAAACATTTCTTATAGGTTGTTTCGTTGTTTGTGATGTCATTCAATAGATGGCGAAACATTGTATTATTTTTTTCGGTCACATAAATAAATACCCATATACACTCTACGTCCGTTATAGTAAGATACTCTATGAAATACCACTATAAATGCTGAGCCTAGAAATTATTTTCGAGTCCCGTGTTCTACTGGATATCTACTGTCTTTTAGATAACTGTATCAAGAATAGAGATGCTTTAATACATTATTTTGTAGAGTGTTAACAGTATTAAAAACACACGTGTAAACAGAATAACTGCTATGAAATGTATTTTCACAAATTAACTGAGGAAGTTCAGTATATAATGGTTAATTAATTCTTATTTTCAGAGTATTAGTTACTTTTCTGTGTGCCCCCCAGTAGCACGGTAATAAGTCTGTGGACTTATATCGCAAGAAATCGGGTTTCTACACTCGTGATGGGCACAGAAGAGATAGTCCATTGTTCAGCTTTGTGCTTAACCAAAAAAAAAAACTTTTCTGTGATCAGCTACACAACAGCTATCTACGTCCCTAATTTTGAACCGAGAGAGTAGATCAGCGGTTCCCAACCTTTTCACCACCAAGGACTCCCTTTTATTATTATTTTTTCCTCACGGACCCCATGTTTTTTGAGAGATTCCATCTACCAAACAAACTGTTTTTCTTACTAATAATTAACTTGTTTTTCCTTTTTTCATGATCAAATAAAAGACACACATAACTGACTGTGCAATTAAAAGAACAGCAGAATTAAAAAACTTGTTTAATGAGATGGCATTCTCTTGGCGGACCCCCAGGGGTCCAGGGACCACAGGTTGGGAATCACTAGCCTAGATCTAGTCAACATCACCGATCTGCAGCCTTTAAAACACGCTTTAGAATAAGCTTCACTTACTGAGGTTTATGTTCAATTAACATAAATCTTCAAAGCAGTGTTCAAATATGGAGAAAATACCGCGTCCCAAAACAGATTTTAAAAAAATTAGAAAATTTGTGCAATAGAAAATACAATTTTATTAAAGTATTAAAGCGCAAAAAATGGCATTTTAAGTTAAACTATAACTAATTTTAGATATTCCAATAGGACTTGGGCTGGTAAAAAGCTGTAAATGTTTCACGGTTATAGAATATCGAAACATAAGCACATGTATATCCAAAGTATGTTCTTCTCTATAGAGCAGTATTTAAATTACTGCTTTTAACAAATTCAGTAAATTTGTTTTAAATGTTTTATAAGTAGCAAAAACAATTAACGTGGGAGGTTTTTGTGGGCAGATCCACATGGCTTGGTATGGCATCCGCTGTTTTGATATATTTGTATTAGCCGACGATCAAATGTGAATATCTCGAAAGGAACTTTTCTAAAAAAAAGAAGAATCTGAAATTTGTACATTTAAAACACCGAAAAGTGAGATGACATTCGTATGGGGCCTGGCATGGCCCGGTGGTTAAGGAGCTCGACTCGCAATCTGCGGGTCG